TGTGCAAAACACTTTACACTACGTGTCCGGTCTATGTGTTCTCTGGTTAGTGAGTTGACTTATGCCCGATATATATTGGTATCGAATTGTTTGGGAAGAGCTGCCGATGTTTTTCGATGTTTTTTTACATCACTAGTACGAACGCGAACGCGATTTTTGTGATGGATAAAAACAAAGTCCCGTATAAATTTATGAAAACTGTGTAAAAATGCAGCAAATGAATCAGAAAATTATTACTAAATTCTGCATTGATTGAGAACTAACAATTTGGAGTGCATAATTAGTGTAACAAAGCAAAATTATTTCGAAACGGGCAAACAAAAAGGTTTTTTCAACGTTTTCTTTACGCATTTCATGCACACACATATACACACAAACACAACATATACACATATATTTGAGCACACATACAGGCATTGATATATGTATATCAATATATTGATGTTGTGCTGTTGTTGTTTATGAAAGTGTGTGTGTGTGTGCGGGAGCGGTGCATTAGTCTATATATGTGTCTATGTGTATGTGTGCGTGCGTTTGTTCAGTGTGTTTCTGTCTGCCTGAACAGGCCAGCGCGAGTACGTTTGTGTTTGTGTGTGATAAAGAGAGAAAGAGTGCGAGCTCGCGCGCAGGTTTCGCGACAAGGCATAAAGCAGGATAAAAGGAGCGAGCAAAGATGAGCAGAAAGAATAAATGTAGAAAATAATTAAAGGTTGCTAAAGGGACGTACAAGACACGGTACAACAGCAATGGCAACGGGGGCAGCAACAGCAACTACAGAGCAGCTGGTCCTGCTGCAGCTAAAACAACAACAACAACTACCAAATACATACATACATGCATACATATGTATATTTGTGTGTATTTCATATGTACGTACGTTTATGCATAAAACTGTGTGACCAACACAATTGGCCATTTTGGCGTTCTCTATTTTGGCAGTCACACACACACACACACTCACAGATACACGAAATACACCAATACACAATCGCAGTCACTGCTCCCCCAGTGACTCTCTCACTCTCTGCTGCTGCTGCTTATGCTTCTTGCTGCTGCTGCTGTGGGGGGTACAAATTCACATAGCCGTGAAAAATAGCATGAAACACAACAACGACAATAAACAATAGGCAGCCGTCGCAGTCGCAACAGCGCAGCGCGTTAAGTTCGTTTGGTTGCGTATGTTCCATCTAACGCGTCGTCTCGGAGACTTCTATTAAACTTTTGATTTTTAAATTATTTTTATTGTTTGTTACTTTTGGGCAGCTCCCACCCTTCGGTCCTGTAGCAATCGGTCGCTCGGTCGGTCAGTTAAAAGCTTATGCGTATGCAAGTTGACGCAGTTAACGATAAATGTTTGTCGTGACACGAAGTGCCCGCGCTTGCAACACACAAAAACAAGAAAAAAAAGAAAAGTAAAAAGAAGAACAAAAAACCCAAACAAATCATAGAATTTTAGTGTTTTTAATATTATTAAAAGTGTAATTTATTAAAAATTGTTAATTGAAACAGTTGAAAGAATAAAATATTTAGTACAGACACGCGTATAAATATAAGAAAATATATATGAGTACACATACATATAATTAAGGAGTCTAGTGAAATTAGTGAACATACCTTTAACCTGCAGTTCATATATCTCGCTGTTTTGAAATCACGCAACCATCCCTATGAAAACAAAACACAATTCACCAACACCAGCAAGAGAAAAAGAATCAGAGCAAACGTAGCAGGCGACGCTGCACAAATCCATGCGTACACACACACGCGCGCGCATACATACATAAGTATGTATCTGTAAATAAATAGTTTTGAAATAATTTTGAAAGCATTAAGCAGCAGTTGACAACAGGAAAATTTCCAAAAAAATAAATATATTAAAAAATAACTAAATAATTATAACAAAGAAAAGAACTTTAAATAAACGTAATCCGCTCAACATTTCGCCATTTACACGAATAAAATTGAGCGTAATTATCCAAATTGCACTTTACAAAGAACTTGCAAATAAGAGAGAAGGAAAGAGTTAGAGGATTGAGCAAAGAGTAGCACCGGAAGAAAGCAAATATCCATCCAAAAATAACAAACAAACACACAGAGGGAGAGACAGCGAAAGCCCCGGCAGCAGCATCAGCAGCAGCTGAATAAATAAATCATAAGCTCGCAGAACGCGTAAAGCTCAGCTTCAACCTGGCGAATCGCAACGGCAACAATAACAACAACAGAGCCGATGCCGCCGCTGGTGGCGCTGCCGCTGTAGCCGCCGCTGGCCGCAACAATAACAATAATGCAGCTGCCGCTGGTGGAGCTGCTGCTGGAGGCGCTGGCGCCGATGCAAATGCGGCCAACGGCGGTGGCGGCGGCAACGAGTGGAATCCCGAGGAAATGGATCGTTTCAGCTTTGACGACTCCATACGCTTCGAAGAGGATTCTCTCTGCAGCTGGAGTTCGGAGGCTGAATCGTTGTGCAACAATTGGCGTGGCTGGAAGAAGCCAACCAATGGCACCACCGGCCCTGGTCTGGGCAATGGTAATGGCAATGGCTTAGGTCCACTTGCGGCCAACAGCAATAGCAATTCTGGTGGCGCATTCGGTGTGGCGGGATGCAGTGCACCTGGCACAGGCAGCAACGGTGGCATGTCCAGCTCAGCCTCCATGGCGTTTGGTGTTCAGTGTGGACGCCAGTTTGGTAAGTGAATATCCTTAAAATATCTCTGAGACTACCACTTGATCAATGCTTAACCCCATAATATACCAACATAACCCTGAATGCATTTCTATGTATGTATGTGTGTCTCGCATACCCGCAAATCGGTTAATCTGGGAACGTAGGCAGCTGTCTAATGAGTACTTGTTGAACCATTGCCAAGATCTTTTCTTTTTATTGAGGACTTCAACAGTACCAATAGCTCAACCTTTCTATAATTTTAAGAAACAAAAACAAATTCAATTTACATCTTATCAGATCATTCAACGCTGGCGATTGTAACGATCTGGCAGCACTGCCAATTACATACGCTCAAATTACACGCATTACATTTTCGATGCATTCACCGAATTCGACGTTAAGTCTGTATGTATGTATGTATGTAAATGTACCTACAAGCATATCTGTATGTATGTTTGTATGTATGTAAGCATATGTAAAAATTGGCTATAAGTTGCAGCAACAACAACTATTTCTGCCTGCGTCTCCTGCTTATCGCTAAAGTCAAAATCACGACTTTGCTGCTTACATTTTGTTGCCATTGTCCGTTTACCTTGTATTACCTTCCTCTTCTTCTTCTGTCTGTTCCTCTCATCTGCACATCACAACGTTTTTTTTATGTATGTGTGTGTCTGTATGTATGCATTGCTCATTGGCTTTGGTCCGTTTCGTGTCCTGTGCGCCGCCGCACCATTATCAACATATAATCTCAGCAGCGCTGCGACTGCGCTGCCGTTACTTTTCATTGCTCTTTGTTTAGCTGTTGTTGCTGGTGCCTGTGTATGCTAGTTTTTTTTTTGTTTTGTTATTGGGGGCCAGGCCATCTTACTATGTAGGTGAGCGAGCACCGGGCAGCTGCATTTTTACGTTAAATGAATGTAAAAATTGGTATGAATGTGCGTGTGTTTTGTGTACCTGTGTATCTTTGTCTGTCTGGCTTTGAAATAGGTATAAAAAATGAATAATAACCGCAAAAAAAGTGACGTTCTGCCTTCTTTCTGCGCTGCGTTGCGTCGGTAATTTACTTTAGCTCTTCGTTTGTGTCAAGGAACCTTTTCAAGGATAATGTCCAAATAAGTGTGTATGATTTCCCTATATGCATATATATTTGTATATAGGATACTTATGTATGTATAGTTCAGTATGTACATACATATATCCATATATCCACCAGCTTTGACAAAACTTGTAACAAGGATCGATGTCAATCAATTTGTAAAAAACTATCGATGACATTACAACCCTGTGTATATGCATATGTATTTGTATGTGCTACGTGGAGTATGTTGCCACATGTCATCTAATTAGTCTCGTGGTGTTTTTTTAACTTTTTGTTTGTTTCGATTTTGCTAAAAATTTGCTGACAGAGTAAAGGCAGCAAAAGACATACGAGAAGAGTTTTATTTGTATTTGTGCTATTTGTTGGAATATCAGTTTTCATGCACTTCCGGGACCGCGAACGAGCGACACACATGCGTACGCGCGTATGTGAGTATGCATGTAAGTGCACATGTATTATGCACAATTTTGACCTCTTTTTTGGTGGGGACAACACTGACGACAATAACACATATCTGAACTCGATTTGTTGTTGCTGTTGTTACTGGTGCTCCTTACCCTTGCCTGCTTGCGCTTACACGCACACACACACACACACACACCAGATGTCAGCAAATGGAATGCGAATAAAGAAGGAATAGGAGGAGGCATGAATAATAACTCTTGACGCTTGCGGAAAATGACTTTGAATAAAATGGTGCCAGAGTGTCTGAAATTAAGCGACAGCGAGCGAACGAGCGAAAGAATGAAAACAAACAAACGATGCGCTGGCCGATGCTTGCGTATGCATGTGTGTGAGTGTGTGAGCGGGTGACTGAGTAAGTGTATAAGTTTGTGTGCGTGCGTGTGTAATGAATGCCAACCGACAAAAACGTACAAAATCGATATCGATAATGGGAAACGAGAAGTAAAGCTTGAAAACGTAACACATTAGCCAAGACCCTTCACGATAGTGAAAGCGAAACAGGTTTACATTAAAATGTCGAAGACAGCTGTTTATATGTAGATGTATGTATATATATAAATATATTCATATATGTACGTATGCAGCTCTTAGAAGATGAACACATGACTGTGTGTGTGTGTGTGGGCGAACTTGAACCTTATTTTCTTGTCGGGTGCGCGCGACCAATGCTTTGTTGCTGTTGTTATTGCTGCGTCAGTGCTCGTGTTAAAAGCAGCAAAACGACACAAAAATATAAACTCAACTCTTTTATTGTTTCTCTGCTTCTTTGTTTTGCGCTCTACAGCGGATGGACACGACCTTTATATATGTATGTATGTGTATGTGTGTGTGTGCTTATGTATGCATGTTGTTATTGTTAATGTGTTGGCTGTTTGTTCATTTGTTTATTTGCATGACAATTTGTAGAATTTTGTTTATCTACAAGTCAATTGCGCTGCACGCACAGACAAAACATACATACAGACATCTATATAATGTGTGTGTGTGTGTGTGTGTGTGTGTGTAGCATGCAACGAAAATTTAACTCGGCTTTTTCATCATCTAAAACGCCATTGACCTCTGCAGCGACTGACTTGCCTCTTCTTCTTCTTCTTCTGCTTACTTGGTCATTGCTCGAATCGTCTCGGATAGCGTTTGATTTATGCTTTAGTTGTGTGCGTGCGTACGTGCGTGTCTGTATGTGTGTGTGTGTTAAGCATTCCTGGTATTACGAATAAAAATCGAATCGGCTCCCTCTAAGGCCTTCCCCTCCACATTTCTTGTTATTGGAGACTAGTTGAAGAGCTACTGGCAATTGATTTTATTGAAATCGAAACTTTATAATATTATTAACCCATTTTTATTGTTATTTACAGATGTCTCGTCGCTGACCGAGCTTGCGGCACGCTGTGTTGCCTCGTACATACCATTCGAGCTGGTCGAGCATGTCTATCCGCCCGTGCCAGAGCAGCTGCAGCTGCGTATTGCATTCTGGAGCTTTCCGGACAACGAGGAGGACATACGATTGTACTCGTGTCTGGCCAACAGTTCGGCCGATGAGTTTCATCGTGGCGATCAGCTGTTTCGCATGCGCGCCGTCAAGGATCCGCTACAGATAGGTGAGTCTCGAGAGATCTGTATATGTACATATGTATGTATGTATGTATGTATGTATGTATGTTGTATATCAAGATCTGGTAATCATTGGTCGAATTTCATCTTGCAGGCTTTCATCTGTCTGCCAGCGTTGTGAGCCAAACGCCGCGCACCTTCTTCAATGTGGCCGTCACATTCGATCGCCGGCGGATCTCCTCGTGCAACTGCACCTGCACCTCCTCGGCGTACTGGTGCTCCCATGTGGTGGCCGTCTGCCTGCACCGCATCCATTGTGTATGTGTCCCATGCCAAGATTTCGCATATGCCACCGTTTCACACTCTAACCCTGTCTCTTTCCATTTCATGCCGTGCAGCCCCTGGAGGTGTGCTTGCGTGCACCTGTCTCCGAGTCGCTGACTCGCCTGCAGCGCGACCAATTGCAAAAGTTCGCCCAGTATCTGATCAGTGAGTTGCCGCAGCAGATATTGCCCACAGCGCAGCGGCTGCTCGACGAGCTGCTCAGCGCCCAGCCGACGGCAATCAATACAGTTTGCGGCGCACCAGATCCCACGGCGGGTGCCTCCATAAATGATCAGACCAGCTGGTATCTAGACGAGAAGACGCTCCACAACAACATCAATCGAATACTCATCAAATTCATAATGCCGGCGCCAATCGTTTTCAGGTAAGCCTCTACCGTCTTTTGAGCTCCAGCTCCAGCTCATGCTCATCCTCATCTTCATCCGCATGCTCATCATTTTCGTCCTTGCAGCGATGTCAACTACTTGACCAATTCGGCACCACCGGCGGCCGCTGAATGGAGCTCGCTGCTGCGTCCGTTGCGTGGACGCGAGCCGGAGGGCATGTGGAATCTCTTGTCCATAGTGCGCGAGATGTACAGACGCTGCGATCGGAATGCCGTGCGTCTGCTGGAGATCATAACGGAGGAGTGCATGGCCTGCGATCAGATGCTGATATGGTGGTTCCAGACCAAGCTGGCGCTCATGATGGGCTCCCATGGCCACAGCGGTGGCAAGCACTCCAATACGCACTCGAACTCCACAGCGCTGCAGCACGCGTGCAGCTCGCTCTGCGATGAAATTGTCGCCCTGTGGCGTCTGGCTGCACTGAATCCGGGACTGGCGCCCGACGAGCGCGACATGCTGCACGCCCAGTTCACGGCCTGGCATCTGAAGATACTCGATCGTGTGGTGAAGAGTCGCATGATGCCGTCGTCGTACACGAACAAGCACCAGCAGAACTCCCGATCCGAAACGGAGCTGTTCATTGGCTTCAAGCCGGCCATTGAGGCATGCTATTTGGACTGGGAGGACTATCCGATAGCGGGCGTCACGCACACCCACGACACCAATCCCATTTACTATTCACCGTTCACATGCTTCAAGCACACGGATGCCAAGGGCGATGCCTGCGGCACCAGCACCACCAGCCAGCTGAACGCCACCCAGGCGCTGATGAGCAACAACAAGCACTATAATTACTTCAGCACCTCCAACGATCATGGCATGCATGCGGGCGCCTTCAAGCAGCGTGCGGAGCGTAGCGCCTATCGTGAACGCTTCGATGCCAGCGGTGCTGAGCTGTTCGGCTCGCCCAATGAGCCGCCGTCCATAAACGCTGTCATGATGCTGGCCCAAGTGAATGCCGCCTGCGGCATGGGCGTCGATCGTGATGCCATTGGACTGGGCGCCAGCTCACAGCAGCAACAACAGCAGCAACAACAGCAGCAACAACAGCAGCAACAGCAACAGCAGCAACAACAGCAACAGCAACATCAGCTCGCAGGCGCTGTTGGGACATCCAAGTCGAATGCTTCAGGCTCTGTGGCAGGCGGCGTTGGCGTCGGCGTTGGCGGAGGCGATGGCAATCGTTCGAGTGCCAGCAGCGAGGGATTCTGTGAGAACGAAGATTTCGGCGGCGACAACAGCAGCAGCCTGAACTATTGCACGGAACGTGCGACGGCTGGCGTGTCAGGGCAGAAATCGCTAACCGAGTCCGATTCGCAAAGCAGCTTCGATGCCGTCTCGCAGCAGAGCAAGGATCTGCCCATGTCTGTTGCTGCGGGCGTGGCAGGCGCCGGTAATGTTGTTGTTGTCGGACCGGGCACACCCGACTATAGACAACAGGCGGGCGGCTCCACGTCGGATACCTCGTCGGCATCGTCGGCCTCGTCATCGGCATCAACGGGATCGGGCAGCAGCAACAGCTCCAGCTCATCCATGCTGAAAACAGCTGCAACGGCTCAGCAGCAGCAACAGCAACAGCAGCAGCAGCAGGTGTCACGTCGCCTGTCCAAGGACGAATCATTTAGCAGCAGCAGCGATGAGTTCATTCCAGTTGTGGGTGCGCCCATTGCAGCGGCAGGAGCAGCATCGGCAGCTGCAACTGGCGGTGATTCGACGCCAGTGCCCAGCACTTCAGCAGCAGCACGCGCCGCATTGGCAGCAGCAACAATTGCACAGCAATGTGAAGAAACAACGGCCGCAGCAGGAGCAGCAGCAGCAGCAGCTGGAGCAGGAGCCGGAGCTGGAGCAGGAGCAGCAGCACCTGTGCCAGCGGCAGCAACAGCAACACCAACTGCAGCTGCTGCTGGTTCTAGTGCTGCTCCTGCTGCTGGAGGCACGGCAGCCATGGAACAGCCTTGCTGCAGCAGCAGCATCGCCGGCGCCGGCGCCAGCAGCAGCAGTGGGACACGCGGCGCCATGGCTGGCGATAACAAGCAGCCGCACATCTTCTCGAATGTACGCCCCTCGGAGGACGCGTGGGACATATTGTTGGCACGGGCGGAGGGCTTGCACGCCCATGGGCATGGTCGTGAGGCGTGCATCTTGGCCGTGCGCCTGGCCGAACAGATGCTGGCCAATCCGCCCAACCTGCTGATGGAGCTGCCTCCGGCGCCCAAGCGCAAGGGCAAGAAACAGAACGTGAATCCCATATCGCATCAGTTGACAGTGGTGGCCTCGTCGACGCTCTCCAAGTGCGCCTTCCTGTGCACCGTGCTCTCCGAGAACTCGGAGCACTATCACATCGGCTTTCGCATCTGTTTGTTTGCCCTGGAGATGCCCCGACCGCCGGCCAGCACCAAGCCGCTCGAGGTGAAGCTGGCCAACCAGGAGGCGGACATATTGGCGCTGCTGAAGCGCCTGCCCCTGGGCGCGGCCGAGCTGCAGGTGATCCGCGAACGGGCCGAGCAGCTGCGCAGCGGCACCTTCAAGTCGCGCGGCGAGGCCCTGCTGCCCATCAACCTGGCCACATTCATCTTTGATGCACTGGTCACGCCCGGCGTGCCCAAACTGCCAATCGGTTACGGCGTCTCCAGCGATCCGACGCGCCGCCCCAGCACATCGACGACGCTGTACAAGCTGAGCGAGGAGAACATGGGCTTCGAGGCCGCCGTGGCGGCATTGGGCCTGAAGGCCAACGTCTCGGAGGCGGAGCATCCGCTGCTCTGCGAGGGCACGCGACGGCAGCGCGGCGATTTGGCACTGACGCTGCTCTACCACTACAAGGACGAGCCGCGCAAGATAGCCAAGATTATGGAGAAGCTACTGGACCGGGACATACACACGCTGCTGAAGACGCCGCTGCTGCCCTCCTACTACTCCAACCATCCGCCGGTGCGCACGCCCAGCCAGCAGCCCTTGCGGCGGGATCACGATCACGAATATGGTGCCAGCGCGGCAATGGGTGCTGGCAACAGTGGTGGTGGCGGCGGAGGAAGTGGCGGCAGCGGTGGTGGCAATGGCGGTGGTGGTGGTGGCGGTGGTGCGGCCGCTGCTGCTGCCTTCAATCTGTGCGAGCTGCTGCCCAACGACTACGGCAGTGTGGGCGGCAACAGTCGACCCCACAGCTCGACCAGCGCCGAGCTGGAGCTGAGCATGTGCGCCCTGAGCATGGCCAGCAGCAGCAATCAGTCGTGCAGCAGCAACAACAACGGCCAGGGACAGGGACAGGGCCAGGGTCAGGGTCTGGTGGCCTGCCAGAGCGGCGGGCAGCCGAATGGAGGCAATGGCGGTGGCAGTGCCAGCAATCCGGCTGGCGGAGCAGGTGCAGCTGGCGGAGCAGCCGCAGTTGGTCAGAACAATGGCAATGGCAATGGCAATTCGGCCGGCGGCAATGGCAACTCGGCCAGCGGCAGCAACAGCAATCCGAACAATGCGAGCAGCAGCAGCCGGAGCAAGGAGAGCCGCTACAAGGGCAAGCGCGCCTATCCCTCGATACCCAATCAGCCGTCGGAGGCGAGCGCCCACTTCATGTTCGAGCTGGCCAAGAATGTGCTGACCAAGGCCGGCGGCAACAGCTCCACGTCGCTGTTCACCCAAGCCAGCACCACACAGAATCACCATGGACCGCACCGGGCGCTGCAGATGTGCGCCTTCCAGCTGGGCCTCTATGCGCTCGGCCTGCACAACTGCGTCAGTCCGAATTGGCTGTCGCGCACGTACTCGTCGCACGTGTCCTGGATACTGGGCCAGGCCATGGAGATTGGTGCGCCGGCGATTAGTTTTCTGATTGACACGTGGGAGGCGCATCTGACGCCGCCAGAGGCAGCCGGCATGGCGGATCGTGCGTCGCGCGGCTGGGACAACAACATGGTCTATCCGGCCGCCGAGCTGGCGCTCTCTGTGCTGCCCCATGCGGCCGCCCTCAATCCCAATGAGATACAGCGCGCGATACTGCAGTGCAAGGAGCAGAGCGATCTGATGCTGGAGCGTGCCTGCCTCACCGTCGAGACGGCCGCCAAGGGCGGCGGCGTCTATCCAGAGGTACTATTCCAGGTGGCGCGCTACTGGTACGAGCTCTACACCCGCAACTCGCCCAACAACTCGGGCGGGGATCACGAACAGCACGAGGATCAGCTGGAGCATTCGGCTGTCAATCTGAGTGCGCTCATCGAGTCGCAGCAGCAGCACGAGCTGCAGCAACAGCAACAGTTGCAGCAGCAGCAACAGCAACAGCAGCAACAACAACAGCAGCAACAACAACAGCAACAGCAGCAGCAACAACAACAGCAGCTAATGAGCGCCGCTGCTGGTGGAGCTGGTGGCCCATTGGCGGGTCCACCTGTGGTCAATGCGGCGCCGCAACAATTCCAGCCAAACGTGGCCGCCTTGACGCCCATCAACCTGGCGCCGTACGGGCCGTACACGTTCTGCCAGAGCATCTATGCGCATCATCACAATCTCAGCTATCCGCCCGGCCAGATGCAGATGTACATTTCGGCTGGTCCGCCACCGCCGCCACAGCCGCTCTATACGAGCTACTCGCAGCAGCAGCAACAGCCGCCGCCACCGCCGCAGGGCGCACAGCAGCAACAGCATGTGCAGCAGCAACAGCAGCAGCAACAACAGCAGCAGCAGCAACAGTCGTTGGTGGCGGCATCAGGTGTGGTGCATGCAGCACCGCCCGGTCATCAGCCACCGCCAGCGTTCCAGGCGCCACCACCGGGCGCCTTTCAGCCACTGCCGCCACAGGCATACCAGGCACTGCAGGGAGGTCCGCCCGGGCCGCCCATGGGTCCAATGGCGCCCACCTATTACGGGCCACCGCCGCCGCCGCCACCAAACGGACCGCCCGGCGGCGGTGTTGGCGTACCATTGCGCCAGCATCCTGCCCAGCATCCAGCACAGCATCCGGCACAGCATCCAGCACAGCATCCATCGCAGCATCCCGTCTATCCGTTCATGCAGCAACAGCCGCCACCACCGCCACCGCAGCACCAGCAGCAGCCGCCGCCGCCAACACAGCCGCCAGTGCGTCAGCGTCAACAGCATCAGTTCACGTAAGTAGAAAGAGTGTGTGAGAGAGAGAGAGAGAGACGGATATATATATCTCCCTTTGCTTCCCATAGATCCACGCAGCTGCGCTATCTGCTGGCCGCCTACAATGTGGGCATGCTGGCCATGGAGACACTGGCGCGACGCGTCCACGACGATCGGCCGCAGGCAAAGTACGCCAGGAATCCTCCGTACGGCGAGGACGTCAAGTGGCTGCTGCGCATCAGCAAGAAGCTGGGCACACAGTATCTGCATCAGTTCTGCGTCTGTGCAGTGAACTCGATCGTGAGTCCCTTTGTGCTGCACGACGTGGCCATCGAGTCGGCCCACTATCTGGGCCGGAACAATCATCAGTTGGTCATGCAGCATCTGCGCTCGGCCCTGACGCCCCTGGTGCAGAAATGCCAGCAAATGTGAGTAGCGTATGGAGTGGCAGCCAGCAGGACTCGTCCATATTCATATTGATTGATTGATTGATTGATTGACCCTTTGTCTTCTTCATTTCTTTGGCATTCAGGTATATCCAGTGCATCCACCAGAAGCTGTACCATCTAACCCAAGGCGACTACGAGGAGTTTGCCAGCATTGTGGTTGCCGCCCGCGCGGCCTTCCAGATCACTCCCGAGGGCAATGCCCAGTTCAAGGATTGGCTGCAGTCGATCAAGCGGTCAGTTGAGGGCAAACTTAGATTAAATATTATAGCTTTGCTATCCACATGTATATATCTCAATTCTAAAAAGTAACCTAACTATCCCAGCGTCATGGACAAAGTATTTGTCGCGAATGGCTATCGGCCGCAGGGCCTAAAGCCCTGGCAATACGACGATCCGGACGGGGTGCTTTTTATATGCGAGAATTTGTACACGAGCCCCAACACCGTCACCAACAGTCACAAGAGCTGGAAGAGAAACTTGAGCATGGCGTTCCGTCGTATGCTCCGCCGGGCTCCCCAGACCAAAGAGAATATTGAAAAATGAAAACGATGCTGAAGATGCAGCAGACTGAGATATCAAGAACGAAGAAACTAACTAGAAAATTTGTCATCACGTTTTTTTGCCTTTGTGCTTTTTTTTCGTTTTTCGTTTTTTTTTTTTTTTTTTTTTTTTTTTTTTTTTTTTTATTATCATGATTTATATGTGCGCATGTTTCTTATAACTTTGTATATTGTAAAGCCAATTCTGGTTCTTTAATAATTCCTGGTCATTTTGCGTATTCTATTTGAAATTAAAATTCATCTGCCCTAACATCTGGCTGAAATAATTGAAGGCTTCATTGTTTTATAGTTATCTACATTTATATATATAGTTCACATACAGTATAAACATTTGTATTAACTTGATATAATATGGATATGCTCAAGTCTGGCTGCTGTCTCGATGCGAAGATGGTATTCCAGTCGAGACTTTCCAGTTGTAGCTTATGTTTAACTAATCTTAATGATTAATATACGATATGGAATGCTATACGATAATAGAGCTAACATACGAACGTGCATAAGCATAGTTCACTAAGAACTTTGAGCAAGAGAAAGTTTTAGATTTGAAGAAATTGTTAAATTGAGATGAGTAAAAAAAATCGATAACATTAAGAGGATTTTCTGATTGCCTCCTTTAAATTATCGATATTTTTGAAAAAAAATTTTAAATTAACTGTAAACCGATAACATTCGCAATTGAATATCGTTGATTTAAGAGGACGAAATGTCAAATATTCCAGAATGCTTTAAGCAAACTAAGAAATATTCACACCGACATAGTAAGAGACGATCTATTGAGACTCGGGATAGTTCACAATGTGCTGAAGTCAATTAGGCATTCAGGATGAATGCTATATAAATCGATAACATTCCTTTACAACTATGTAGAATCGATTAATAATTGTCATTGAATTTGCAGCATTCACAATTGAAATGAAATTATTTCCCTGTTCCGTTGCAGATCGAAGTCGTGCAAGAAGGAGCTGTGGACACAGATCAATGCGGCGCTACAAAGCAATTCCAAATGACAAAGACTTGACTCCTGCAATCTGATGACGGCAACGGTTGCGGCTGCAGCGGCTGCTGCTGCTGCCGCTGTTGCGACAACAGCAACAACAATTGCCAGCAGCGGCAGCAGCAGCAGCGACACAGTGCTGGCATCGTCGCCGCCAATGTCGCTGGTGAAGGCAACAGCCGCTGGCAGCGCCGGCAGCAACAATATCATCAACAGCAGCGTCGGCAGTGCTGGCAGCATCAGCAGCCATGGGCACGGCCACAGCCACAGCCATAGCCACAGTCATAGCCACAGCCATAGCCACAACCACAACCACAACCATAACCACAACCATAACCACAGTCACAGCAACAACAGCAGTAGCAGCAGCAGCAGCAGCAGCAACAACAGCAACAGCAATGGCAATGGCAATGGCAATGGCAACGGCAGTGGCAATGGCGGCAGCAACAACGATCAGACTACAGCGCAGGCGCATCATCATCATCACCATCATCATCATCGACATCATCATTTGCTGGAGACGCCGACAAGCAATACAGCCGTTGCTGCTGCAGCAGTGGCGGCGGCAGCAGCAGCCGCGGCAGCAACAACATCCGCCTCAACAACGGCTCAAGTGTACGAGCGTCTATGCCGTCCCAGTCACGTGGTAATGGAACAACAGCAGCAGCAACAGCAGCAACAACAACAACAACATCAACAACAACACCAAAAGCAGCAACAGCAGCAACAACAACAACAGCAGCAGCAGCAACAGCAACAACAACGCGTTGCCCAACTGCCGCCAGTGGGGCAGCAACGTTCAGTGGTGCCGGGACAGGTGCCACCGTTGCCAGCTGCGGCGGGAGCGTTGCCATTGCCTGCGCACGGCTATCCGACAATGCCCGCCGGTTATTATCAGACGCAGGGCACAGGGCGTTCGCTGTTGCATCCGCACCCGCATCCGCATCCACATCCGCATCATGCGCACCCGCCGCACGCGCATCCACATGCCCATGCGCATCCAACGACACATCCCCACGTGCATCCGCATGTGGGCTACCATCATGTGCAGTCGGCGAGCCCATTCCATCAGCATCTTTAACAACGTATCGCAGGCGCTGCCCGCGGCTGCTTTACAGGTGGCGCGTCTCATGCTGCAGCTGCATCCGCGCATCAAGCCCATGGAGCACCAGACGCCCCAACAGCTGCCAACATCAGATGCCACAGGTGCCACATTGGCTCTGCAGCTGCATCGGCCGGGTCGTCTGCAACGCTGCCCTGAGCGGCGGCGCACCACGCTGCTGGTGGTGCTGCTGCTGTTGGCAGCACTCCTGGCCATTGGCCTGCCGCTGCTCCTGCTGCTGCTGCTGCGCTAGCAGCCATTCGACTAGGCTAATGCAGTGTGATCTCAGCGCTGCGCCACGTTTTTACAACCCACACACACACACACACAACCACAACCACACACCACCGCACTTAGTTCATGTTATAGGTTATCTATTGCTCTATATATAACATATATATCTCTAAAAATTTATATATATAATTTTTTTTTTTTTTTTGCTTTTCATTAATTCATTTTTTAGTTGTACAACACAGAATAGAAAACAACAAATTACACGATGTGTGTGCATATTTAGACTGAGATTTCTGCCAACACACAAGCAAGCATTCACACACACACACACACTCACACACACAGGGACAGACACACAGACAGACAACAACAGTAAAAACTCACTTCAAAATGTGTTCAGTTAAACTAACGTTATTTTAGACAACTACTTAACAATAATTAGTTACTACATATACATATATATATATTTATATGTATATGTAATTTTTTTTTTATTTCTGCTTATGATCTATATATATATATATATGTTTTTTTTTCACACTAGACGTAACATTTTACATTTATATATTTTATATAATTTAAGGCAAATATATTTACATATTTTCATAAATCATATACATTGTACATATATATATATATATATATATAAATATATATATGTGCGTAGAGAAATGTCTGTATATATATATGTATGTATATGTGTGTGTATATGTAGAAAAACAAGTGTAGCTAAGCAATTTTGAGGGCTTTTCAAATTATTTTTTATTTATTAAGCCAGACCACTCACCGATCAACTTATTAAATTTATTTAAACAAAATATTGTTATATTATATATATATATTTATATGTATATACATATATCTCCATATATACATATATATATTTTTATTATATAATTTTAGCAATTTTTTTTTTCAAGCTATATATTTGTAGGCAAATCTTTTAGAAGCAATTGTTCAGGCTTCAACTCTTTTGAGCTAATTGTATTTGAAATGTAACTGACATTTGACGTACATCAATTGAATTTGTTTTACCACAAATATTTAGCAGTTAGAGAAATATATATATCTAAATATATATATGTATGTATGTATATTATAAAAAAAGAAAGAAGTAAAAACGACATTTCTCTCAACATGCAAAACGAACAGAACGAGATGGAACAGAATATAAAACAATATAAAATACATAGTTTTAAAAATATTACTTTGTAATTAATTTTAATTAAACACACACACACACATGCAACAACGCAAGTGAGAGAGAAATACAATTTTTATTAAACAAAAAAAAAAATATATAAATATGTATACATATATTTATATATATATATATATACACATTTGCAGTCTATTTACATGCAGTTTAGTTTTGTAAAGTGAACAGAGTACGAAAAAATGCAAAAATAATTAGCAATTGTTTGTTTTTGATTGAGTTTTATTTAGTTATGCTTTATCTTAAACATAATTCATTTTTATCTTAATTGCTATTGATTCTTTTAACTTATAATCCAACTTCTTGCAAAAGAAACAAAAACACAAAAAAAAGAAGAAAAAAAAAAAACAAAAACAAAAGAAACAAATTTTTTTATAAACATACAAAAAACTAAACAAAAATGCAGTTTTGAATAAATATGGTTTTTTGGATTTATTTCAAAACGCAACTAAAAAAAAAAAAACAAAAACAAAAACAAAAACCACAAGACACAAAAAAACATTTTGTTTTATTTCAATTTACCCTTAAACTTATTATTTACTTCTCATTTTGTACTTAAAAGCAAATGCGCCGAGTGGTACCGTTATTTTCTTATGATTTGCCATTTGTTTTGGCCTTGCCACCTGGTTGCGAAATGCGTGTGCTGAGATCGCTGCTGCATAGGCTAGCGTACGAGGGGGTGAGCAAGCGAGACGGCAAGCTGAGCTGGAGAGAGGAGTTATGGCATGCTCGTGTCACGTTGGGCCGAAGCACGACTATCAATCAATGCGAATGTATACACATACACAAACAAACACACACAGAGCTATTTCAATGAGAAACTGCCAACTTCTGTTAGAAACTATGTTAAAAAAAAATTATGTTATAAATATGTATTTGTATATGTATGTAAACAACTTACGCTAAACAGACAGAGAAAGTCCGCACAGAAGCTGAAGCTGTTAAGCTACAACGGCGCACTGCCGCTGCCGCTAACGCTGCTGCTGCTGCTGTATGTAATGCGAAATACCCTGTAAATATGAAATAGTAATTAGATGACTCGTGCAGCGCATTTAGCGCTCCTCTTATATATAAATATTGTAACTCTTTTTGTGTTTTTATATGCGTACATATAATATATGTATATGAAATATAGTATACATATGCATATATATATATATATACATACTTGAATTCGTGCATGCATACAACTTATATATACATATATATACAAATATATACAATATATGAAAAAAAAAAGATAAAAAAGAAAGATGAAAAAGAAAATGAAAATAAAAAAATCTAGTGAATTCTGTAAGCAATCGCGAAAATTGTAAATTTTTAGTAAACAGTTTTATACAAGCGCAATCGAAAATGAAAATGAATATATATAAATATATATACATATATATACATCAATTTACATGCTAACTGTAAAATGTAAAAAAAAAAAGAAATGAAACAAACTTCAGCGAAAAAAAAAACAGTTTTTAAAAACATCAAATGCAAAAGACATGAAACATATACATACATACATACATATATACAGACAACTATTTATTTACATCTAGTTATATATATGTATATACATATAGTTGACTTTTTTCCATGAAAAAACATTAAGCTAAAACAATTAAGCAGAATTAGTAAGAGCGCTTATTCAATATATATATTTATACATATATATAGAATATTCAATTATTGTACATTATATGCAAACACACACAGATATAGTATAATCAATAAACAGGCCACACACACACACACGCACACACCACCATAGCCATCATACATATTTACGATCGCAACTTTTCCGATATTTTACACAATTCCTTAAACAATATGATCAAAGATAAACCAAAAATTATATATGTATATATATATTTCTACATACATACATATATGTGTATGTACAGGTATATTCTTGGGCACACATACTAATGCTAACCCTTCTCATGCGTTCACTTCAGTGACATTTTTTATAGCATACTTTTGAGCGTTCGCCATTTTCTCCATTTCCATTTTCGTTTGCTGTCTTCAGCATGCATTTACCGAAATATCCAAATGAACAAAATTAATAATAATGCTGCCATATAACCCGCCTGCCAATCGGCGCTCAAACACCAACGAACAGTTTATTAACTCCAACATTCATTGTAATATTCTATAACAATATATATATATATGTTTATATGTATAGCTAAATCTACTTGAATAATTTCTTAAAAGAGCGGAAATACGTTGCGATTGTAGCCGTAAAAGTAAACAGACCATAGACATCGATTGTATATATATGCATACATATAAATGTATACAGAATAGTCGAAATTCACAAATACACACACACACACACGCATACATAGAGAGAGTTCACTTTGTTTATTTACATGGGCAGCCACGTCAACCTTAAATAATGAAATGTTAAATTGAAGAAACAAAAACTTAGCAAGATATATATATATATATATACATATATGTATGTACATACAAATACATATAAATATATATATATACATATAAATATATATATATATATATGTATATAAATATATATATATATA